TATTTACAAATACAGAGTTGCCCCAGCACATAATTCCGTACGAAAGGTAAGGGTTTATACATCCATGATAATATTTCATAAATGTTGACACATTTACGTTTTCTTTTAACTGCCTTACACAGAAGCACAGGCTAGTCAGTTTTTTAACTACTATATCGATATGAGGTTCGCAAGTTAAATGTTCATCCACAGTCACACCTAAAAAATTTACAACATTATTATGTTTTACTGAAGCTGTAGTGGACTTAATTAATACGCTAAAGTTTTTTTGCCTAGGATGAGCCGAAAACTGCAAATATGATGTTTTGTCTTTATTCGGAGATAAAAAGTTTTTAGAGCAATACGATTCCATACTTAAAACACATTTACTTCCATGAACACTTAAGCATGCTATAACATTAGATGTAACAATTGCGGATGAATCATCTGCAAATAGTCGTAATGAATAGTTCTTTTCGGAATGTATACAATCATTAATAAAGATTATAAAAAGAAGCGGGCCCAATATGCTGCCCTGAGGTACGCCGGTGCTAATGGCTTTTTTATCTGATAAATAGGGTCTCTGATTGTAAGTAACTTTTACCACCTGTTGTCGTCCTGTTAAATAATTTTTTACCCATTGCAAAGCTACACCTCTGATTCCGTATGCTTCCAGTTTATCACATATGAGTTTATGATTCAAAGTATCAAACGCACGGCTTAGGTCAAAATATATCCCTACTACTTTCTTTTTATCATCTAAAGAATCAAATATCTCCATTAACTTTGACACAATAGCATCTTGTGTTCTTCCTCCTTTTTTGAAACCAAATTGTTTGTCATTTAGAATATTGTGTCTTTCTATGAAGGAATATAATCTTCGATAAAAGGCCTTTTCAAAATTGTTTGAAAAAATTGACAACAATGCAACAGGTCTGTAATTATTCATTTTTGATGTATTACCTTTTTTATGTATAGGTACAATTATTGCTGTTTTGAGGTCATCTGGGAAAATTCCCGTACTAAATGAGGTATTTATTAAATTTGTTAACAGAGCTATTGTGGTTTCAGGAACATATTTTAATAAATAATACGGTATCCCATCTAGTCCTTTCGATTTTTTATTAGCCACAGATGAAATAATGTAATATACCTCTGGTATTACTACAGGATCTAAAAACATTGAGTATCTATCTATTAAATGGAATATTTTGTAGTCTATTTGTGTTATCATTACGGGTATTTTAAAAGTTTTTGTTATATTCTGTATTGAATTAATAAAAAAGGAATTGAAACTATTTGCTACATTTAAACAACCTGTTATATTTTCATTTTCAGAGTTTTGTAATGTGTCTGGTAAATTATTTATTTTGTTATTAGGACGAAGCGAATTTATTATTTTCCAAGCACCCTTACCTATATTCATCCATGTTTTTAGAATATTGTCATAATAATCTTTTTTTTTTTTTTGACTAGAATTTTATGTTGATTTTGAAGGATCTTGTAGTGTTTTAGAACCTCAGGGTAAATTTTTGTGATTTTATGCATATCTTGTAATCTTCGGCTACTGGCAATAATTTCATTATTAAGCCAAGGTTTTGGGTGGATGGTTTTTTTTTATATTGATTTCTTTTTCTTGGTTTGGGAACGCCAAATCAAAATTGTAGTCAAATAATTGAAAGAATTTTTGGAATTTTTTTGGTCCCGGATTGTTATAAACGTCACTCCATGATTCCGATTGTAACAGATTCTGAAATTTTTCTATATTTTTTTTTGAGACATTTCTTTTATAAACTATGCATTTTTTATTGTCGTTTAATTTATTAATTAAACCATTAATTTGGAGTAACTGCCCGTAATGATCTGTGATATCGTTTTCGATGATATGAGTACTGGCTCTGTTGAAATTGTTCGATATGAAGATGTTATCAATGGTTGTTTTTGACTTGCCGCAGACTCTGGTCGGTTCAAAGACATATTGTTCTAGACCATATGGTGATAAAGTATCAAGAACCAAATTTTTGTGCTTACTGTTTATCTGGCAATCAATGTTAAAGTCCCCACACAGGACTGTTTTCGTAGCCGGTTTATGAAGCTTTTTCAACAGGTCCTCAAGTTGCAGCATAGAAGCCCTACAATCTCCTCCAGACCTGTAAATACTTATTATAGTAATTGCACATTTGCTTAAATTTAGTTTGATGCAACAAACTTCAAACAATTTCTCAAAGTTTAGTTTAGAGTTCGGCGTTTGTGCTTAGGGGAAAGTCCCCTCATTCGGACCTAGTCGGACATTTTTTCAATTAAAACCAAAATGTAATACGATATTAACTTATCTAGTGCTGCGCCATTAACTTTGACATGTTTTCAATGTTTGGTAATTTTTTTAGAATTTTTTGAAACATCCAAATTGGTTAAAAAAAATAATTTTTGAAGATCTGCAAGTGGTCCAAAATAGGAGACTGGGTTCCTAAATTGGACCACTATATTCTTGAATTGGACCACCGGTTTTTAAATTGGACCTTCTTGGTAAAAATGCATGAAATGAACATAATTTTATTTAAAATGTGAAAAAAAAATATTAAATTTTAAAAAATAATAACAAAAATAAACATTTTAGAACTACATGTAAACTGAACAATACTGTTATAATTAGGTACAATAATCACATAAATAACGCTTTGTGCGCGATTCAGCTCCTGAACATGTTTCGTGAACCCATTTTTTGCATCCATTGCACTGAATCATGCCTTTCAGCGTTGTTCCTCGCAGAGGAAGCAGTACCATTCTTGCACATTGGCCTGTATAATAACGTCTTGTTTTGTATTTGGTATTTTGTCCTTACGCAAACCAGATGGACCTGCTTTGGGTTCTTTAAGTTCATCAACAAATTTGCTCTTAGTCTTCTGTTTTTTCTTTTGTTCCAACTGTTCCTTGTAAGGTGTGTTGTTAATATTGTAGTTTTTTGCGTCTTTTTTTCTTTTTCTTTTTGTTGTTTGCTTAATTATCTTGGGCATAGGTGAAATTTCTAGAGGTGTATAATAATGCAGAGTGGCAGTTTCATTATCAAGTCTTAATTCCTCAGTCTCTAGTTTCGTATTGTTCTCTACTTCAGTAATCAGCTGTTTTTCAGTCTTATTTTTTGGATTAGAGTGCTCATCAATCCTGAAATCTCCGCATCCATCTAGTATAACATCATAGTTAATAGATTATAGCAAGAAAATTTATTATTGGGCATTGTAATACGAAGTTCTAAAATTACGCGCCTAGATACTTGGTCAAATCGGGAGTTCCTTCAATTAGACCGGTCCAAATAAGGAGAATCTAAGGTGGTCCAATTTACGCGCTGGTACAAAATTGACTATTTTCTTGTGTTAAAACGCTATAACGAAATAAAACATATTTATTTCTAGGTTACGTTCTTAATTTCATTACGCTTTGACCAATGTAGTCTTTGGGCACTGTATTTATGAAATAGTTTAGGCTATATATCCTTACAAAAACATGCGAAAAGTTGTATCACAATGGTAGCAAAATTTCTTTGCAATTTAACAAGCAGACACTTACCGCTACAGAATGGAATTTTGCACAACACTGCTTTGGCGCCAAATACTTTCGAATAATATGCACTAGATGTCGGCAACTATTCTAGATTTAACAAAAATAGGGTGGTTCAATTCAGGCACTGGTCCAATAAGGGGGACTTTCCCCTATATGATCGCTTTGATTTTATCTTCAAATTTTTTGCGTCCTTTTTCTGAAATGACATAACCCAAATAATGAATTCTCTTCGTGAAAATTTGACATTTTTCTCGATTCAGATACAGATTATATTTACGTAATCGTTCAAGAACTTTAATTAAACGAAATTTACATTCTTCAATTGAAGAATCTTGAACCATTATATCATCAAAATACGCTGTGGTACCTTCTAAATCGTGAACAATTTGATCGATGACTTTATGAAATTAATTTGGAGCCGTTTTGATACCAAAAAAGAGTCGTTTAGCTAAATATGTACCTCGTTGAGTTGAAATTGTTTGTATTAGTGCACTTTCATCATCAACAGGAACATGTAAATATGGTTTGAAGACGTCTAATGTACAGAAATATTTACCATTTTTCATTTTATTGAAAATATCTTCTATTCTGGGAATAGGATAATTAACGATTATCTTGAAGTTGATTCTTGATAGTTACTTTGTAATCAGCACACACTCTAATGTCACCATTCTTTTTCGGCACAATAACTAAAGGTGTTCCCCACTCGGAGTGATCAGTTTTCTTAATAATACTTTGATTTTCTAAGTCATCTAATTCCTGTTCAACTTTCTCTTGGAGAGGGTAAGGAACTCGGCGAGGTTTTATAAAATTGGTTGTGTATTAGCTCGAAGATATAAAGAGCATTGATAGTTTTTTAATTTCACCAACTTTTGGTTGAAAAACGTCGCTAAATTGATTAAAAATTTCTGACATTGATTGTTGACAAGTAGAAATAGAATAAAAGTCATGAAGACTTATCTGTAGGTTTCGAATCCATCTTCTTCCGATATTGGCTGTACCATAATCAGAAATGACAAATAAATCTCCCATGAACTTCTTCTTTTTATATGTAACAAGTATTCGTATGTAACCCAGAGGTTTAAATGTTTTTTTGCTGTCCTTAGAATATCCTTCAGTTTCAATAATTTTAATTACTCTTTTTTTTTGTTATTAAAAATTTTCGAATAATGAAAACCTTGTCAACATCTTGTTTTTTAAGTTGTGACATATGAGTGGTTTAAGATTTTTTTTGCTTCATTTGTTTTCGAGATGCAAGGCCAACTTAATTTTTTTTAAATGGTAGTAATAGAGTAAATTATCTTCAACATCACTCTCAACTTAACCTCCAATCGAGTCCAAGGCAAACGCTGCACATAAAAACACGCAAGAGTAATTTAAATAATGCGCCTTGGTATCAATAACAACAAAAACCAGAACTGTGTACGAACAAAAAAATAAAAAAGTAAGTATATTTTCTCCGTAAACACAAACCACAGTGCAACAAACTTATTTTCTACTCCATGTATCCACAGATAGTTACTATCTTTTTTCGAACACCACCCGCGAGTTCTTGATCCTTAGTACTATGAAGTGCTGCCACTGCACTTCGTCCATTGTCGCCGGCTCCACAGTCCTCACTCTAAGTTTCTGGATGATCATGGCGAGAAAAACCTTCATCGACATCATGGCGTACCTCAAACCGATGCAATTCCTCACCCCATAACTAAAGGGAATGTAGGAACAACGATGTCTTGTTTCAGAGACATCGGGTAGAAACCTGTCCGGGTCAAACTTTTTGGGGTCGGGCCAGACCGCTGGGTCTTGGTGGAGGTATATTATGGGAATGAGAATGTTAGAACCTGCTGGGTAAACGTAAGGATCTACAACAAATAATTTTGGTTTGATGGTTAAATAGTAGGACATGAATCACCTGCTTTAATATCGTTGTTAATGCGTCTACTGATCACTGGAAGGGCTGGAACTAACCTCATGGTTTCTTTGAGAACGCGTTCGGTAAATTCGAGTCGATTGAGATCTTCCAGGGTTGGATTCTTCGTGGTGGAACCCAGGACGGAAATAATCTCGTCGTATAGTTTATCCTAATCCGAAGTTTATCAGAAGGGGGAAATTTTAGACCGATTTTACCTGAATTTCTGGATTTATCCCCAGGAAGACCAAAGCGGCGGCAATTGTGGCGGCCGTACTTTCAGTACCAGCGTGAAGCATCGTCACCGTTTCCTCCAGAACTTGACCGGGTGAAATCGCGTCGGTTTCGCTGCACATTTTGACCAAGTGTGGCAGAAAACGCTTTTCCCTCAAGGAGTTACCTGAGAAAATATATTTCGTTACATTTTTTTTTCCAAAAAATTATTCAACCCACTTTCGTACTTCTTCGCCTCGTACGACTCTTCCACTAGAGTTAACATCTGCAATTGTCAACTAAAATTTGTCTTTTGGATTTTCGTGACTTACGTTTCTAGGTAAGTTGCGACCTTCTTCACAATACTTGGCGTGTTTTTTCGATAAACTTGAATTTTTCCAGATCAAGTGGAGGCGGTACCAGAATTTGTACGTTCGTTGCATGAAGATGTCGCCGAAGCTGTCCGAAACGTGAAATTATTTTAAATTAAATTTTTGATTTAGAACTATGTACTTACATTGAAGCCGCTACAATAAAGTCGTATCTGTTCTTGTGCAGAGATGGTTCTGAATCACCTAGAGTTTCTGCAAAATACGAATTTATCCGGACTAAACTGAATTAAAAAGTACTACCGATCACGTTGTCCAGAGTTGTCCGCCAGGTATATTTGATTATGTCGGTCTGTTCAGTCCCGGCCGTTTTTTCCAAAATATCCACCAACTCTGTAGTATATCTGATGTATGCATCCAGGAAAGAATTAATAACTTGTAGATTAAAACTCGGATTGATTAATTTCCTGTTGACTTTCCAGGACGAAGCTAAATCACCAAATATAACACAAGTTAAATAAAACAAACCCGTTTTACCTTCGGCCGTCAAAATCGACCCTTTCGAGTACTCGTCAAAATTTTTATAAATGTTGGACTTATCCAGGAACGTACTCAAGACAGTTTCGGCATCTGTGGGTCGATTGGTCACAATGTACAACTCCGAGCCAGTCCATGCTTTCCAAACGGGATAATACGTTTTAGACTGTTTGATAATTTCGTTAATAAAACCTGAAATTCGAAACTTTAAAACCCACACTCAATCTTCGTGTCGCGGTTACCCTTTTTCGACACATTAATGAGGGAAAAAGTCCCCACTAGTGGCACGGCAGCCGGTCCTGGAATTTTGAAAGAATGGAATAAAATTTGCCACTTGCCGTATAAAAGTATGGTGAAAACGAATAACGCAACGAAAATGAGGACAAACACCAGCATGATGAGCTCGCGGCGGTTGAATAACGCAAGAGTTAGCTGGAAGAGTCAAGGAGGAGTTATTTATACTTGCATGAGACAATTATGATGATGATAGGTATGGCTGCAACTTGAGGTGCATTTTTATCAGCCGTAATAAAAACATTAGTGGAAGATGGGTAATCAAGGGCGGTCGACTTTGGAGCGTTGGGTCGGTGCGGTATTGGTAGTTTCCGATGGGTTAGTTCTGGGAAAAACCCATGTCGAGTGATTCTTTGTATTCGAGGAGAGGGAATTAATAAGGTATTCCTGTATTTGTGGTTTATGAAACTGTGGTCAGTTTTTACCCTAGTCATGCAGGTTTATGGGAAAAAATCAAAATTGTACAGTTTTTGGGATTTTTTGATTTTTCAATTTTTCAGTTTTCAATATCTCGCGTTTCCGAAATTTCGATTTTTTGATTTGTCGATTGTTCGATTTTTGGATATTTCAATTTTTGAATTTTTCGATTTTTGATCCTCTAGTACTAGTTTATTGATTTTTAAATTCTTCGAATTTCCAATATTTTCAAATTTTGGCGTTTCTAAATTTTCGATTTTTCGATTCTCAATTTTTAGACTTCTTGTCTTCTTTTAGTTTTTTTGAAAGTCTCCAATTTTTCGATTTTTCAAGTTTTTAATTTTTCGATTTTTCGATATTTCAATTTTGGGATTTTTCACTATTTTCACTTTGAAGTTTTTCAATTTTTTAATGCCTCGATTTTCAAATATTTTAATTTCTCGATTTTCAATTTTTCGGTTACTGAATTTTTGATTTTTCGATTAATCAATTTTTCAATTTTTATTTTTTCGGATTTTTCGATTTTTTTTATTCTTCAGTCTTTTGATTTTTAAATTTTTCGATTTTTCAATATTTCAATTTTCGATTAATCGATTTTTCGATTTTATGATTTCTCGACTTCTCTACTTCTCAACTTTTAGATTTTTTTATTTTTCGATATTTTGTTTTTCTTATTTTTCGACTTCTCGATTTCTCGATTTTTCGGTTTTCAAATTTTCAATTCTCCGCGTTTTCGATCTTTCAATTTTTCGATTTTGTCGACTTTTCGATTTCTCCATTTTTCGATTTTTCCATCTTTCAATTTTTCGGATTTTTCGATTTTTTGATTCTTCCGTTTTTTTGATTTTAAATTCTTCGATTTTTCGATATTTCAATTTTCGATTAATCGATTTTTCGATTTTATGATTTTTCAACTTTCGATTCTCAATTTTTCGACTTCTCAACTTCTCAACTTTGAGATTTTTTTATTTTTCAATTTTTTGATTTTCTCATTTTTCGACTTCTCGATTTCTCGATTGATTTTCAAATTTCAATTCCCCACGTTTTCGATTTTTCAATTTTTCGATTTTGTCGACTTTTCGATTTCTCGATTTTTCGATTATTCAATACTTCGATATTTCATTTTCTGTATTTTTCGATTTTTTGTTTTTTCAGTTTCTTGATTACTAAATTCTTTGATTTTTCAATACTTCAATTTTTGGCATTTCTAAATTTTCGATTTTTCAATTTTTCGATTTCGTCGACTTTTCGATTTCTTCATTTTTCGATTTTTCGATCTTTAAATTTTTCGGATTTTTCGATTTTTTGATTCTTCGGTTTTTTGATATTTACATTCTTCGAATTCTCAATATTTCAGTTTTCGATTAATCGATTTTTCAACTTTCGATTCTCAATTTTTCGACGTCTCGATTTCTCGATTTTTCGATTTTCAAATTTTCAATTCTCCACGTTTTCGATTTTTCAATTTTTCGATTTTGTCGACTTCTCGATTTCTCGATTTTTCGATAATTCAATTTTTCGATTATTCAATTCTTCGATATTTCATTTTCTGGATTTTTCGATTTTTTGTTTTATCAGTTTCTTGATTATTAAATTCTTCGATTTTTCAATACTTCAATTTTTGGTGTTTCTAAATTTTCGATTTTTCAATTCTTTGATTTTTCGACTTCTCAACTTTTAGATTTTTTGATTTTTCGGTATTTTGATTTCCTCAAACTTCGAATTCTCGATTTTTCGATTTTCAAATTTCCAATTTTCCAATTGTTCGATGTTTCGATTTATCGATTTCTCAGCTTCTCGATTTCTCGATTTGTCAATTTTCGTTATCTCGGTTTTTCGGTGTTTCAAGTTTGGGATTTTTCAGTGCTTCCGTTCTTCAATTTCTCTTCGATTTTTCAATTTTTCGATTTATCGATTGGTAAGTTTTTCGATATTTGAGTTTTGTGATTTTTCAATTCTTCGTTTCTCCGTATTTTGGTATTTAAATTTTTTGATTTTTAAAATTTTAGATTTTTCGATTTCTCGAGATTTCAATTTTTCGTTTTTCAAATTTTATCATTTTCGATTTTGCAGATTTACCAATTATTCGATCCTGTTTGTTCGATTTTTTTCTTAATTTGAATTTTTCAATTTTTCCAATTTTGATTATGCGATTTTTCGATTTTTCAATTTTTCTACTTCTCGACTTTACGATTTCTAGATATTTTGTTGTTTCAATTTCTCGATCTTTCAATGTTTCCATTGTACGATGTTTCGATTTATCGATTTCTCGACTTTTCGATTTTTGGACTTTTTGGATTTTCATATTTTTCAATTTCTGGATGTTTCAGTTTTCTGATTCCTCAATTTCTCGACTTCTCTGTTTTTCAGTGTTTAAAATTTTTCGATTTTTCAATTTTTCGTTTTTCAAATTTTATAATTTTCGATTTTGCAATTTTACCAATTATTCGTTGTGATTTTTTCAATTTTTTTTTTAATTTGAATTTTTCATTTTTTCCAATTTTGCTTACTCTATTTTTCGACTTTTCTACTTTTTAATTTTTCGATTTCTCGATATTTTGTTATTTCGATTTCTCGATGTTTCAATTTTCCAATTGTACGAAATTTCGATTTATCGATTTCTGGACTTTTCGATTTTTAAACGTTTCGGATTTTCATATTTTTCAATTTCTCGATGTTTCAATTTTTCGATTCTCCAATTTCTCGAATTCTAAATTTTTCGATTTTTTGTAATTTCAGATTTTTCGATTTCTCGATTTCTCGTTTTTTTGATTTTTCAGTTTATCGGTTTTTTCATTTTTCCTTTTTATTTTACATTTTTCGATTTTTCAATTTTTCGATTTTACGATTTTTCATTTCTTAATTGTAGGTGTTTCAATTTGTCGATTTGTCGAATTTTCCATTTCTTGACTTCTCGGTTTTTCAGTGTTTAAAATTTTTCGGTTTCTCGATTTTTCAACACTGTTATTTTGAAAAATTTTTTGATTTCTAAAATTTTAGATTTTTCGATTTCCCGATTTTTCAATTTTTCGTTTTTCAAATTTTTAATTTTCGACTTTGCAGTTTTACCAATTATTCGATCTTGTTTCTCTGATTTTTTTTTAATTTGAATTTTTCAATTTTTCCTATTTTGATTATTCGACTTTTCGACTTTTCAATTTCTCAATATTTTGTTGTTTCGATTTCTCGATCTTTCAATTTTCCAATTGTCCGAAGTTTCGATTTATCTATTTCTCGACTTTTCGATATTTAGATTTTTTGGATTTTAATTTTTTTCAATTGTTAATTTTTTGATTCTTCAATTTCTCGATTTCTCGTTTTTTTGTTTTTTCAGTTTATCGGTTTTTCAATTTTTCCTTTTTTTAGATTTTACGTTTTTCGATTTTACGATTTTTTCATTTCTTAATTGTATTTCAACTTCTCGATTTGTCGAATTTTCCATTTTTCGACTTCTCGGTTTTTCAATGTTTGAAATTCTTCTATTTCTCGATTTTTCAACACAGCTATTTTGGAAAATTTTGTTATTTCTAAAATTTTAGATTTTTTAGTTTCTCGATTTCTCAATTTTTGGTTTTTCAAATTTTATAATTTTCGATTTTGCAGTTTTACCAATTATTCGATGTGATTTTTCCGATTTTTTTTTAATTTGAGTTTTTCAAGTTTTCCAATTTTGATTATTTTCTATTCGATTTTCCAATTTTTCAACCACTTTTCGATTTCTCGATGTTTCAATTTTCCAATTGTGCGATGGTCCGATTTATCGATTTCTCGACTTTTCGATTTTTCGACTTTTTGGATTTTCATATTTTTCAATTTCTCTGTTTCAATTTTTCGATTCTTCAGTTTCTCGAATTCTAAATTTTTCGATTTTTTTTTAATTGAAGATTTTTTGATTTCTCGATTTCGCGTTTTTTTGTTTTTGTAGTTTGCCGGTTTTTCAATTTTTAAATTTTTCATTTTTCGGTTTTTCAATTCATCGATTTTACGATTTTTCAACACCGCCATTTTGGAAAACTTTTTCAATTTTTCGTTTTTCAAATTTTATGATTTTCGATTTTACAGTTTTACCAAATATTCGATGTTGATTTTTAGATTTCTCAGCTTTTCGATTTCCCGATTTTTCGATTTTCGCTATCTTGATTTTTCTGTGTTTAAGATTTGGGATTTTTCAGTGTTTCAATTCCTCAATTTCTCTTTGATTTTTCAATTTTTCGATTTATCGATTGGTCAGTTTTTCGATATTTGAGTTTTGGGATTTTTCAATTTTTCGCTTCTTTGATTTTTTGGTATTTTAACTTTTAGATTTCTAAAATTTAATTTTTTTAGATTTCTCGATTTTTCAAAATTGTTATTTTGGAAAATTTTTTGACTTCTAAAATTTTAGATTTTTCGTCTTTCAAATTTTTAATTTTAGACTTTGCAGTTTTACTAATTATTCGATCTTGTTTCTTCGATTTTTTTTAATTTGAATTTTTCAATTTTTCCTATTTTGATTATGCGATTTTCGACTTTTCAATTTCTCGATATTTTGTTTTTCGATTTCTCCATGTTTCAATTTTCGAATTGTCCGAAGTTTCGATTTATAGATTTCTGGACTTTTTGGTTTTTACACTTTTTGGATCGGTTTTTCAATTTTTCCTTTTTTAGATTTTACGTTTTTCGATTTTTCAATTTTTCGATTGTACGAGTTTTTCATTTCTTAATTGTAATTCAATTTCTCGATTTGTCGAATTTTCCATTTCTCGACTTATGGGTTTTTCAATGATTAAAATTTTTCGATTTCTCAATTTGTCAACACTGGTATTTTGGAAAATTTTTTCATTTCGGAAATTTTTGATTTTTCGATTTCCGCTTTTTCAATTTTTCGTTTTTCAAATTTTGTAATCTTCGATTTTGCAATTTTATCAATTATTCGATGTTGTTTTTTCGATTTTCTTTAAGTTGAATTTTTCAATTTTTTTCAATTTTGATTATTCGATTTTTCGTTTTTTCTACTTTTCGACTTTTTGATTTGATATTTTGTTGTTTCAATTTTCCAATTGTACGAAGT